CACAAAAAATTCCATGTAAAAAGCAGTATTAGGTACACTGATTGGTCACTTTCTTAGAAATCCATGTACTCATGATTCATTCAGCTATCTTCCACTGTACCATGAGAAGGATACTATAACAAATAGCTATGTGAACATTAACATACAGCAAATGGAAAATGTCTTCAGCAGTGATTAAAGCAAACTGTTTATAATGAATGACTGAAAACATACAAGGTGGTCTAGAAGTGTCATCTTATGCTTTTTTTCAGCACTGAAAGTAGAGTGAAAGTAATGAGAAATCCATGTGACACATTTGACCCTACCTGTGCAAGGTGTTGGAAGTAGTTTAATAGTATGGGAAATGTTCTCAAGACATTGGAGTTATACTGAGTCCTTTAGAAGGATGAGAAACATTGTCACTGTTCATGTTCACTTCACAATGCTGGGCTTTATCACTGATAAACAAAGGCTCTTCCAAGATGATATTCAAACAATCCATGGTGCTCATGTTGTTCAACACTGTTTCCAAGAGCATGAAAATGAACTTAGCCAATTGTCTAACCAAAATAATTACTAGATATCAATTCAACTGGGAAACTTCTGGATGAACTTAAACATCACATCTGCAACCATTTTCTTCTTCTGATAGCTGCAAACTAATACCTCTCCATACTCTTGGATAAATGGGCTACTTTCAAACATGTTCAAGTATGTACATATGATTGACACTTGGGTAATTGTTAAAATTAAATAATTTATTAAAATCCAACATTTTTTGGTACACAGTTAAAATATATATAGTGAAGCCATCAGGAGTCTTGAAGATGGCATAGTAAATTAAAAACATGTAGTTTTTTTTAAAAGGAGGCTGTTGATGGCTTCAATAAACATGTCTCAATTGTCTACAGAGGACTTTGTCTTTTAATTATTTATGTAATATTCAAGTATGCTGTAAAAGTATTTCCACACTAATGTCAAAGCATTCTTTGCAGTAAAAAGAAAATGTGATCTAACCTAATATTAATAAGGGCCCTAATAAATTGGCCAGTCAATATACCAATAAACACAGAAAACTATGATAGCACCTCAGTAAAAAGAGTCTCATTTGTACTTACTCACACTCTGAGCTTCGCTTATCAATGAACTTCATGACCTGTGCCATCAAAGAAAAATATTTTTTTTTATAAATTCTAAACAAAGTTCTCAACACTGAATCATTAACTAGGAAGAATTAAATAGTATACTTTGAAACCATTTAAACTGGTGATTTAACATGAAAACAGTTTATTTTATTCACTCAGAGATTAGGTATACAAAATATATAAACTTTTTCTGATAGAATACAGTATCATATGTTTTAAATTTGTATTTTTACTTATTTCATTTCTATATACATAAGCAGAGAATTAAGTTTTCTTCTTCTTATCATTACAAATCTAACACTAGAAAATGTACTTTTATATTATCAAATCAACAGGATAATGTTTTGAATTAGCCAAGATTTACTTGCTATGCTTGTATTTTTGGGTCTATGGTAGTTCTAAGGTAGCCAATTAAGTGAAAAGTAACACTGAAACAACTTAACTTCAAAATTAAACAGGCCAACATTCGTGGGCGAATGCAAAGTGTTTTTACCATGCAATCCCAACATGACCAATTTTGACACCATAAAAATTGTGAAAAATATGGAAAAATCAAAAATTGTCTATATCACTGCTTGGATCCTGCAGGAAAGTATCTTTGTACCAATTCTCACGTAAGTTGGTTGACATACACATGAATACCCCAAACTGTGTTTTCCTTCCTGAAAAATGGAGCAAAAGATAAAAACTCCAAAATTGTCTACAGCTCTGTTTGATCCCATAAAACCATTAAAAAGTCTCTAAATATTGAACCAAGGTATAACCCTTCCAAGATTCAAGTCAATCTGCCCAAAAATGAAGGAATGGCAGTCAAATGAAAAGTGTTCAGAAGAAAAAAAAACATTGAAAAACAGTAAACCTATGCAAAGGGAAAAAATAAATATATCAAGTTCAATTCTGAACTGGATGTTCTTTTTTTTCTTCTTATCTTTAATAAAATCAGCTTGTTCCCTTAAATGTTATATGAAAGATATATCTGAAAGCACTCAGTTATCAAGTTTCTTTATTTGTATATAAGAAATCACCAAAGAGCTAAGATTTCTTTAAGCTAAGTGAAAAAAAAAAGAAGTTATGTATCATATCATGTTTTTTTTGCACTAATGTATATCAGGTGAACTCATCACAGCATCAGCTAACAAATGTCACCATCATACATCTAATGTTATTTGATAAAATAACTGTCGAAATGCCACAAACAGGCATGCAGTTTTTAAAATATTTCAAGTGTAATAACTATGGTAATGTCTAGTACTTTATGATATCACAGAACTAATTATTCTTTGCTTACCTGATCAAACCGAGTAGAAAATAAATTAAGTGATGTAATTATTCCTCCATTAGGTCCAAGAGAATATCTGTCATTGTAGTTTAGAGAAAATTTACATTTGTAGAGAATAATGGAGTACCTACACGATTTTATTATATAATTTGAATAAGTTCTAACAATGGAAATTACAGAGGTGGAAAATCTGTCAAATAAAAGTTGTTTGATCAGTCCATGACAAAGTGAATGATCAGGTAGATGGTTTTAAATATAAAATCAGCAAAGCAATTTTATTTTATATGTTAAGTAAAGAAAATTGATTAAATGAGAAACTGATTCTCTCTGTAAGGAGTAATGCATGTTCCTCACATTAAAATGATGAAAGAATAGGTTACATTACTAAAAATTACTAAAACAAGTTCAGATTACAAATAAGTTCTGACTTTGTGTTTAAAAGAATATTTAAAATTTTCTATTTAATTTCATTTTATTATACACAGTTTTAAAATATATACAAAGATAGGTATTGCATTTTGAATTAAAAATGTAGAAAGTGACCATGAACTTTTATTTTAAATTGGTCTGAATCAAAAAGGACTGACCCAAGATTTAACAAGTATTTACAGTAAAAATTAAAAGACATTGCTAAGCATTACTGCAAAAGAGAAAAACAGTATTCTTACCCAGAAGTAATTTATTAATGTGAGGAACACTTTACAGCACTGGAGGCTATATAATTAACAAAAACTGAGAAAGTACATGATTTTCATTAGATAATTTGAATAAGTTCTTACAATGGAAATGACAGAGGTGGAAATTCTGTCCAAGAACACTTTTTTTGTAATTTATGGCAAAGTGAATGATCAATTAGATGGTTTTAAATATATAATCAGCAATGGAATTTTATTTTATATGTTGAATAAAGCAAAATGATTAAATAAGAAACTGATTTTCTGTCCAGATACTTGGATACTCCTGCCAGCTTTCAACTTTTATCATCTTCCATTTTCCAGGACAAACAGCATTCTTTTCTTCCAAAGTAATTACATCGTAATGATACCTCTACATTTATATTATCTAACCAACTAAATAATCAAAGGATACTGCTTCATAACCTCCTTGTATTTCACTGTGTCTCTTATATCTAGTAAAATAAACTGAATCATTACAATGTTATTAAGTACATAGAATTCGGTGACGAAGAACCCACTTTGAGGCTAATAATGGCTGGAGACGGCTTGAATGGGTAATGAAGAAAAACTTTAATATAAGTTTAACATAACAGCAAATGTACAACGTTTCGACAAGGTTTTGTCATCATCTGATGATGACAAAACCTTGTCGAAACGTT